AACACACCACAATTTATAACAACAAAAAACTTACTTAAAGATACCCCAGCTTTACCACTTTTGTGTATTTGAGAGATTGCAGTTTGAACAATAAAGTCTTCAAGTGTGTGTGGGTGTGTAAGGAGCTGTGTGAGGGTGCAAGTATGGAGCTACACGTTCAATGTGTGTGAATGTAAAGAACATATTGTATCCTGTTTAATGTTTGTTGTGGTGTGTGCATAAGTCTTCAGCCCCCTTACCTCTGTAGCAGGGGATGAGGGGCTGACTGTGCTGCAGGTCGGCTCCGTATCGGAAGCACACTCCGTTGGGAAGCTTGTTGTTCTGTCCATCCTTCTGGGAGTAGTAAACATTCTTCCAGCGGTGAGCACATGCCTGGACACACAGCACAGACGTCACATGATCCGCTGAGAGCACCTCCAGGGGCCGCGGGGTCACACATGTGCTCTGGACACACAAAGATACTGAGGAGAGCTGCTGTGGTTCCGCTGGAGGGATCCCCATGGGGCTGTTAGAATGTCTGCTGCTCTTTTTGCTACCACTTTATTCTTTTTTCTTTGTCCAACGCCTGTTTACATTGATGAGAGAAATCAGTTACATACCCCAGCCCAGATATATCACGTGGTTAAGGTGTGGCAGCTTTGAAACCGTAAACGAGAAATGATGCAAGAAGCGCTGGCCCCTTCTCTATGTCTGTGATGGACAGAGTATTCTGGTTTCTCTTGCATTGAGAGAGGTGTGCCACAAGGCTCTTCCCTTGGTCCACTATTATTTTCCCTTTTTATAAATGATCTGCCTCTTACATGCAAAAACTGCAATATACAACTTTATGCTGATGACACAGTGATTTATTGCTCTAAATCAAACAATACTGACTTCAAAATTCTCTTCAACTTGATTTCAATTCAGTTCAACTCTGGCTACAATCTAACAAACTTTTACTCAACAAATCCAAATCAAATGTTATGTTGTTCCAGAAACGAGTCCGTCCCATTTCTACTAATGAAATTAATCTTTTGTCACCACTCCCAATTGTTGATCAATTTAAATACCTTGGTTTATGGCTTGATTCATCACTCTCCTTTAACAAACATAATCTCAAACAAAATTTCATATCGTCTAAAATTACTTTATCAATCAGTTAATTGCTTCAGTGTTTTAGTTAGGAAAATAATTATTTCACAGTTGATTCTTCCCATTCTTGATTACAGTGACAAGATCTATCAAAACACTTCTGCCTCCATCCTCCACACTCTGAATGTCACATACAACAGCCTGTGCAGGTTCATTCCCCGCTGTCCCTTTAGGACCCACCACTGTCTGCTGTACGAGCAGTTATTGTGGCTCTCTCTGTTCTCCAGACGTCAGCTTCATTGGCTGCTGTTTGTTTTTAAATTGATCAATTTAAGTTTTCCGGACTATTTAAAACAATCTTTGATTCCTCTCCGATCCTCCTACAGTTTGCGCCACGCAAACCAATGTTTCTTTGTTGTCCAAAGAGTCAAAAAAGAAGTCGGAAAACATTCATTTAAATTTAAAGCTCCCTCAGACTGGAACAGTTTACCTTTATCCATCCGCTCTCTCACTTCTCTGCCTCTGTTTAAAAATGCTCTGGTTCAACACCTTCAGAACCCATGCTAGTGTTATTGAGTATACTGTAGGTTATGAACCTAAATTATAATTATATTCACTAGTATGAATACTAGTACTGTAATCACTGTTAATTATAAAAGGCATTATATTCACAACAATCAGTGTGTGTGTGTGCGTGTGTGTGTATGTATGTGTGTCCTTTGTCTTTGTGTCCGTATTATTTTCTATGAAAACTGTTATATTGTTAGCTCTACTGTCTTACTGCATCTGACATTTTGTGCAATTTTGAGGACCCCCTCGAAAACGAGATGATTCATCTCCAGGGGCTTATCTTCAAAACTGGACTTCCAGTTGTGGCCCCTCCAGGAGGAAAACCGAGCAGCGCAAACCAAGCAGTGATCACATGCGGCTGAAAGTTCTGCTGTTTTTAAAAACTGACCAGTCCCTGTCCTCCTGCTGAGTGGACTTACCAGCACATGTCCTCCTTGAGCCCCCGGCTGCCGTGACAGACTGACCCCGAGCCACTGGTGGGCGCTCTCTCCCTCGCATGTCTTCCCACAGCTGCTAACCTCTGACAGAATAGGGGCACATGTCAGCGTAACCATGGATAGTGTGCATTAATGAACAGCAGATGTCACATTCACACTCCTTCAAACTGAACTATTGTACATGTTTTTAGTGGTAGGGGAAACTGGAGCATCTGGAGATAACCTATGCGCCACACGAGGAGAACATGCAAACTCCACACAGAAAGGTTCTGCATGGAGGCGGGCTAATCAGCACGAGAGTCCAGATCCCACTCTTTCCTAATCTTATGTAGGACTTATTTAGTTTCCTAAACTACCTGATGACAAGGTCATCATCGTGTGCTGTGTGCTCCTCTTTCCTACTGTCCTATAACCTGTGACAAGGTCATCAGGAAGTCCAGCTCAGTCCTGGGCTGTTCCCTGGACACAGTGCAGCAGGTGGGGGATAGGAGGGTCCTGGATAAACTAACATCTACTGTATACTGGACCATGACTGTCACCCCCTGCAGGACACTCTCTGCTCTGGAGAGCAGCTTCAGTGACAGACTTATTCACCCTCGATGTGTGAAGGAGAGGTTCCGCAGGTCTTTCCTTCCTGCTGCTGTCAGACTGTACAACAAACAATAAGGACTAATGAACACTGCCAACTTGATTCCACGTGTAATTCTCACATTGATGCAATATCCTTATCTTATACCAGAATGCGCAATACACAGCTGCCAATATACAGATGTAAACATACTGCTGCTAATGTACAGATGCTAACATATAACTACACTTTACTTGCACTAGATTACACAGTACTTTATACTTGCTTCTTATTTTGTCAAATGTTACATTTTTACATCTATTATATTTTCAAGATAGAGATTTTATACTTATTATGTTTTTTTTCAGTCCTAGTGCAGGTCATTAGTGACTTATTGTACAGTCTGGATGAAGGCCCTGCAGAAGGGTGCCTCAAAACGCCAAATCTTCACTCAGTCACCTCAACTCATTCTAGATTTTAGACTGCCCAAGTTGAGCTAATTCTCTCACAAACAACTTGATGAAGACTAATGAAGACCATTGTAGTTTTTGGGATGTGGGGGTGACACATACCGGCTCTCATGGGCACACAGCTGTGGGCGTGGTCCTGCAGGCTGCAGCGGTACAGTCCTCCAGGGGGGGGCAGCGAGGGGTCTGACGAGTTGGCCACGGGAGCTCCCACCACCACCCTGACACAGAGGACAGAGGGCAGGTCACATACTGTACATACATAAAATCGAGTTTGCATTATGAATAAAGTGAAGGTGGCTGTTTATGTCTCTTTGGGAGAACATAGAGTACCATCTTTGCAGGAATTCACACTGGGACCTGGTTGGACAGTCTTTGGATGGGATAAAAACCAGCACCAGGGGCACCAGGGGCGACAGTGGATCCCCCCATGAGACCTTCTCCACCTACTTCCACTGATGTCTGCTGTTGTTGTGTCCTTGAGAAAGACACTTAACCCACTTGGCCTGAAGCCATCCTCCTGTGGACCCACCAGTGAGGGGATGTGCTCTGTGGATTGGGTGCAGCTCTGATTGCCATCCCCCAACCCAGAAATGGATTAAGGGGAAGAGGATGGATGGATGGATGGAAAAAAAACAGCGCTCCAGAGTTTAGCCCTGGACAGTCAGTGTACACTGAGACAAGAGAAGTCCGAGTCTGCATGTATACTGAGACAAGAGACAAGAGTGGTCTGCAAGTATACTGAGACAAGAGACAAGAGTGGTCTGCAAGTATACTGAGACAAGAGACAAGAGTGGTCTGCAAGTATACTGAGACAAGAGACAAGAGTGGTCTGCAAGTATACTGAGACAAGAGTGGTCTGCATGTATACTGAGACAAGAGACAAGAGTGGTCTGCAAGTATACTGAGACAAGAGACAAGAGTGGTCTGCAAGTATACTGAGACAAGAGTGGTCTGCAAGTATACTGAGACAAGAGACAAGAGTGGTCTGCAAGTATACTGAGACAAGAGTGGTCTGCATGTATACTGAGACAAGAGTGGTCTGCATGTATACTGAGGCAAGAGTGGTCTGCAAGTATACTGAGGCAAGAGTGGTCTGCAAGTATACTGAGACAAGAGTGGTCTGCATGTATACTGAGACAAGAGTGGTCTGCATGTATACTGAGGCAAGAGTGGTCTGCATGTATACTGAGGCAGTGACTGTGTCCTCTGTGTGTGGACAGTGGACAGTACCAGCTCTGGGCCTTGTGGCGATGCAGCAGAACGGAGTAGCCAAACATGGAGGCCTCGGGGCCCCTGAACTGCAGGCTGTGCTCCTGGTCCACAGTGTAGCCTTGCACACAGAGGGAGAGGGCCCCGAGCAGCAGGGACAGGAGGGGACCGGGACGCATGCTGAGGACAGACAAGACACAACAAAACACATGTTAATGGATCACAGACACTAGATTTTACTTTTATAATAAACGTCTAACGAAGGATATATTTGAAAGCATATGGTTGTGGAGAGCGCCGTTTAACTGGATACATCTACAAAACAAAACAAAATCTTATAATTGTTTTTAAAAGTATTTATATTTATATGACCCCTCTCCACCCCCCACCTTCACTCTGCAGATCAGAACCTTCTTGTCGTCATTAGGATCAGGCTGAAGACCAGAGGAGAGAGAGTTTTTTCTGTGATTCAGCTGTGGAACTCTTTACCTTTACACATTAGAACGGCACAATCACTCGAGCACTGTAAATCCTAGTTTAATACCAGGTAGCAAGAGACAAGTTTTCTGTTATTATGTGTTTATGTATTTCTATATTTTCATTGTTTGTCTCTTATTATGTGGTCGTCAAATAAAAACTCAACAGACCTAACCGTGGCGTCCTATAGACCAGTGTTCCTCAACCTTTCTGAGCCATGGAACACCATTTCCTTGAAAACAGTCACATGACACACCACCAGCTGAAACTCATACAAATATGAAACTCTGCATCTTTTATAAACAATGTCATTCTCATCCATGTGTTTAATGTAGAAAATGCTGTACGCTTCTAATCTTTTCACATTATTTTTTACCAATAGTTGATATTTCAAGATGCGGGACACAAAACAACATCTCAAGCCATCACCATTCACTCATTACATACAAACCTATTGTACATGTTTTTAGTGGCACCAGGGGCGACAGTGGATCCCCCCATGAGACCTTCTCCATACTCCCACTGATGTCTGCTGTTGTTGTGTCCTTGGGCAAGACACTTAACCCCACTTTGCCTGAAGCCCCCACTATAATATTAAGGGGAAGAAGATGGATGGATGGAACAAACAGTGGTCGAGGAAAAAATTCTTCACAGACTCAAGGAAACCATGCAAACTCCACACAGAAGGGCCCTGCCTGGATGTGGAAATGACCTTCTTGCTGTGAAGCACAATCGCACAGACGCGCCGGATATTAGTGTGTACGGAATCCAATACACCTCAAAGTCTGTTTACAGTTAGAGAACAATGAATTACTGTTTCATTTTATAGCTGGGCTTGAACTCATCCAGACAGATTGTTTTGGAATTTTTTTGGAGTGAAAGTGTATATGTTTCTCATTCATAGTTACTGGTTGTATGAAGTCATTTTGTTTTATATTTTGAAATGACAACATAATTGAGCCACTCAGGGGTGATCTCAATCGTGTAGTTCATGCAAGGCGTCTCAGGAATTTACCGCAAGAAGAATGGACAACTATTAAAGAACCTCATCCACAACTACCAGAACAGACTCCATCCGTCCATCCATTTTCTTCCTCTTAATCCATTTCTGGGTCAGGGGGGTGGCAGTCAGACATAGCACCAGCCCCTCACTGACCCTCCTGCAGGTGGTGAGTCCACAGGAGCCAGAACAGACTCAAAGCTGTCAATTATGTTAAAGGGCCAATGCGCACTAATGAGAACTGGGGGATGGAGACTTCTGATCAGGGTGAGGGTCCGAAGAGGATTTTTTGTCATTATCATTTGAAAATAGGAAAACACATGTTAGCATTATCATTCATAATTTCTGAAATCTGAAAATTGGGGGTATAAATTGCCATGTCTTTTCAAGCACAACTGTATGTCTCCTTTAATAAAAAAAAAAAAAAAGTGCTGCTGAGCTATTGTTGTTTCTAAAAATAGAACATACAAATTATGAGGAAGAAACGCAAGCTTTCACAACCTCATGTCAGAATCCTTAGAACATCTCGTACAACTTAAACACTTGATATTACAGATTCTAAATCTGAATCAGCTCTGGGCCCACAGGTTGACGATGGACCGGCATTATATACCACTTAATATACTAAATATGCACTTTTTCTTCTGTGTAAAATATTCAAGACCTTTGAAAAACAAAGACCTAATATCTAAATATTCATAGTATAGGGATTGAACCCGCAACCTTGGTGTTTTTTTTCTCCAACTCACTCTGGCTCCAATTGATTTCATTGAAAAGTAAACTCCTCTAGCTCAGTAACTATCTGTGGTTTAGCGCTCTCTACGATCCTGGTGTTTGTATTTTGATCATGTAAATGTAAATACAGTTATGATCCACACAGATTGACCAAGAATTGAATTAAGTCCAGCCTCAGTACTGGATCTACAGTCTCAGTCCTGGATCTACTGCCTCAGTCCTGGATCTGCAGCCTCAGTCTTGGATCTGCAGCCTCAGTCTTGGATCTACAGCCTCAGTCCTGATCTGCAGCCTCAGTCTTGGATCTACAGCCTCAGTCCTGGCCCCAAAGCCTCAGTCCTGGATCTACATACAACCTCAGTCCTGGATCTACAGCCTCAGTCCTGGCCCCAAAGCCTCTGTCCTGGATCTAAAGCTCAATCACTTTAGACAGGATGCGAGATGGCTCCTTGTGTGTACGGCGTGCGTGTCTCAGCCGTGTATAAACCATTATTAATCAAACCATTAAAAACAAATTATAGAAGATTATTTAGATTTTTTTGTCATTGAAACCAACCTTCTAGACTTTGGAAATAACTCACTTCTAAGCGCCTATCTCTTTTTATTCCATATTTTGCTTTTAAAACACACACTCTGCTACAAACAATGAGGACACACCAGCATTTATATCAAAAGCACAAATAGACAGACTAGAAGTGGGGGTCTGACCTGGCAAGAGTGGACGCGGACCCCTGGGCGGCTTCTGTCGGCTGTTCTCCACGCGCGCTCCTGTCAGATATCCACGGGGGGAGCCACGCGCGGTCCGCCTCAACCACAACCACCAACACCGCTCTCTGAGTGTGGTAGACCGCGTGGGGAGAGACGCGTGTCACAAATCTGTAAATTTCGCCAAAAAGCCAGAGAACGTGAAAGGTGCCGTGCGTAACAAGTCCAGGACGCACGAAAGTTAAAGCATCGACCAGCGTAGAAAGTTTAGAGAACTGTGCGCGCGCATCTTATAATCTCAAAGGTCTGTGAACAAAAATCCAAGAACGAATCCACTTGAGTTTAAACTAGAGACACACACAATCATAACTTGGTTTAAACAGAAGAAAGACAGAGCATGCGTAAAAGATCCAAACGCCGTGGAGGATACTGTGTGTGCGCGCGCCTCTCGGGAGCGTGGTGCGCGTGCTCGTGTAACGGCGTTTCCTCCTCACGCGCACCACGCTTCCTCTGAGTGCACCGTCACATTCATACAGGATACATGCGAGCCGGGTATTCACTAGAGTAGGTTAAATATGTAAGAAAGTATAAGAGATTAGGAAAGGACTCCAGTTGATGGGGTGTACGCTCTGGGACAGGGGCGTCAAGCTTTTTAGTCAGAGGGCCACCTTAGTTCACTTTAATTCATAATTGTCCAACAAAACGCATGGTAAAACTGTTTTCTCTGGAATCCCCTTGAGCTGAAGTTGGCAAAATGACTTATGTTTATCAATCAATCAATCAATCAATCAATCAATCTTTATTTATAGGGCGCTTTTCCTGCACAGGGCAACACAAAGCGCCTCACAGTCCACACCACACAATGCACAAATCATCACCATTAAAATACAATTAAAAACACATATGTAATTAAAAAGCATTAAAATCACATAAGTAATTTAAAAACATAAAAATCACACAAGTAATTAAAAACAATAAAATAGTTAAAAACACAAAAAGTTACAACAATAAATAACAAGGTGTGTTAAAAAGATAAAATTCTCTAGTTGTATGCACAGGAAAAAAGAAAAGTCTTTAACATGGATTTGAACATTGACAGAGAGGCTCAGGAAGACTGTTCCAGACTTTAGCTGCATAAATCTGAAAAGCAGCCTCCCCCTGTCTAGTCCTGACTCTGGGCACTAACAGGAGTCCCGTCCCTGCGCTCCTCAGAGTCCGGGCTGGTTCATATGGGACTAGCATATCATGGATGTACTTTGGTGCAAGGCCATGGAGAGACTTGTACACCAGGAGAGCTGCTTTAAAGTCTATCCTCTGGGCCACGGGAAGCCAGTGCAGAGACCTGAGGACCGGACTAATGTGGTCGTACTTCCTGGTTCTAGTCAGGACTCGGGCTGCAGCATTTTGAATATACTGCAGCTGTTTTACTGCATGTTTGGAGATACCTGTGAGCAGGCCATTGCAGTAATCCAGCCTACTGGAAACAAAAGAATGGATAAGAATCTCCAAGTCTGCCCTGGACACAATATTTTTAATTTTGGCAATATTTTTCAGATGATAAAAAGCTGCTGATGTTACCGATCCAATGTGGCTATTGAAGTTTAAGTCAGAGTCCATTATTACTCCCAGATTTCTGACCTTATTTAACGGCCTTAGGGAGAGAGACTGAAGGTGACAAATGACGGTCTCTCTTTGTTTCTCGGGACCAAAGACAATCATTTCGGTTTTGTCCGCATTTAGCTGGAGAAAATTGCATTGCATCCACTCACTGATCCGCTGGATACAGCGAAGGAGTGAGTCCACCGGTCCATGCTCTCCTGCAGTCAGTGAGACATAGATCATCAGCGTAATTGTGGTAGGACACTTTCATACTTTGAATTAACTGACCTAATGGCAGCATGTAAATATTGAACAGGAGAGGTCCCAGAATCGACCCCTGTGGCACTCCGCAGGTCAGGGCCATATTATCTGAGACATAGTCTCCAATCTCCACACAATACTTTCTTTCTTCTAGATAGGACCTAAACCAGCTTAGGGTGGTACCAGCAACACCAACCCAGTCCTCCAGTCTCTGCATGAGAATCTCATGGTCAACGGTGTCGAAAGCGGCACTCAAATCTAACATGACTAAAACAGAGACTTTTCCTGCATCAGTGTTAAGCCGAATTGCATTTGTTACCTTGACTAGAGCGGTCTCAGTACTGTGGTGTGGTCTAAAGCCAGACTGGAACATGTCAAATGAGTCATTAGATATAAAAAATTCAGTAAGTTGTTGGTAGGCAACTTTTTCAAGAATTTTTCCCATGAAAGGCAGATTTGAGATGGGACGGTAATTTTCAAGTACCGCAGCATCCAAACTGCTCTTTTTTAGGAGGGGCCTGATGACTGCCTTTTTCAGGGCCATTGGAAATGTTCCAGATAAAAAAGACATGTTTACTATTTGTGTCAATGAGGGTAATAGTCTACACATAACAGACTTCAGAAATCTAGGAGGTAGTACATCCAGACTGCAGGTAGAGGAACTAAGACCTGTGATTATCTTTTTAACAGTTTCATCATTGACAGGTGCAAATTGAGCTAGCTCACAAAGCCTCACTGGATGTTGCATTGTTACTTGTGTTGTAGAGGTGATGGCATTTCTGATACCCTGAACCTTGTCTCTGAAGAACTGTGCAAACTCATTACACCTGGATTTGGAGTAGTGTTCTAATGGCAACTCAACAGGGGGGTTCGTTAATCTATTGATTGTTGAAAATAGAACACGCAGATTGTTGCTGCAGCCTTCAATAGTTTCAGAAAAGTATAATTCTCTTGTTCTACGTAGTACTCTGTTAAACTCACACAACTTCTCTTTTAAGAGTTTATAATCACCCTGGAGGTTGGACTTTCTCCACTTTCTCTCTGCTCTCCGGCACTCTTGCTTCTGTGCCCTGACCGGGCCTCCTTTTATCCATGGGGCTTTTTGCTTATTTGTGACCATTTTTTCCTTCACAGGGGCAATGGCGTCCAGAACATTCAACACACTAGAGGTGACAGAGTTAAACAGTTCATCTACAGTAGAACATGATGTGTTCTCAAAATGGATCATTCCCATAAATAGTTCACCCGTGTTTTCATTTAAGTGTCTACTTCTAACAATTTCATATTTAGCGGGTGGTCTGGTAGCAAAACACATGTTAAAAAATACACAGAAATGATCCGACAGAGCAACATCAACTACATTAACTTTTGAAATATTCACCCCTTTCGTGATAAGCAGGTCCAGGGTGTGTCCTCTGCTATGGGTGGGGCCACTCACATGCTGAGTGAGGCCAAAGGATTCAAGTATGGAACTCAGCTCTTTTGCGTATCTGTCATTAACATTATCCACATGAATATTAAAATTGCCTATAATGACTAAACCATCAAAATCTGTGCACACAACTGAAGGCAACTCAGTGAAATGATCAGTGAAACTATGGCATGACTGTGGCGGCTTGTACACAACAATAATAAGAATGGAAGAAGATTTCTTTTGTTCTATTTTAAAAGAAACATACTCAAATGATGAAAATTTCCCAAGAGACACTCTATACATAGTTCCCACATGACGTCACTACATACGGGGATTTGCCGACCCGGTGCCATTTGTGTTGGCATTCTGTGGGCAAAACAATAGAAAAAGAAGCTGAAACGTGTTAATGTCGTGATAAAGTTGAAAATGGTCATCTCCTGCTGGGTCAATGGATGTTCAAATCGTGCCGGAGGTTCTGTTAAACTTGGATTTTACAGTATACCCATCATTAGACTTCATGAATGTGAGAAGACTAAGCTTTTGTCAGAACAACCACGGAGGTTATGGCTTGCGAAGATAAACAGGCAAGAAACTCCCTCAAAACACGCAAGAATATGCTCGGAGTACTTTGTGTCAGGTGCGTATCGTATCTTATAATGTGTTGACAGACGTAATTTACTCAGTACTAACTTGTGTATGCTGATATCTGGTAACTTGAGAGTTTCATTATTTAGCGTTAGATTACTTTATTATGAGGAGGATCGGTGTCGCGTCCGAGGCTCTCGAGGGCAACGTAAATGTATTAAATAGATAATAATAGTTCTATGGTGGGCTAAAACAATGTTCACAAACAGCATTGCTTCTGTAAAAAGATCTGTGTCATAAAATAAACTGCTCTTTACGCCTGGAAAAATCAGTTGCCCACCATTCACCAAAACATACGGTCAAAAACGCGGAAATAAACAATAACAGCAATCCAGAGTGTCCGTGTGGCATTAGCATTAATTAAATTAATTTTTAACATAATTAAAATAATTAAATGGAGCTCCAACTGGTATTAAATCTAAAGTTTTTGAGAAATGTTTGCATTGCTTGTTTATTTTTGCTGCATAATTTGATCAAATATGTAAAACATGTCCGTAGCACGTTAAACTGTGGTGCCATTGTATTAATATACAATTATTTGCTCAAAAGTTGCCCTTTTTTTCCAATTTGCGTTTGAATATCTACATTTATTCTCATTCTTCTGTTTAATGGAATGCACAGACACAGCAGCGTGCCATCAAAGATGGCGTCTCCGCGGAGGTCATGTGACATTCATTGGTCTGTGGGAACTATGTATTGGAGACAATACGATCTTTAAAAACTGCTGCTATGCCCCCCCCCCTTTTATTTTCTCGTGTTTCATATTCAGATTTGAAATTTGGTGGTGAGGCTTCTATTATAACTGCATCTCCTGTATTATGGTCAAGCCATGTTTCAGTCATAAACATAAAATCAAGATCATACGAACAGATAAAATTATTAATTAAAAATGATTTGTTGCATAGTGATCTGACATTAAGTAGAGCAAGGTTAAAATTAATATCAGTGTCAGTGGGTTTATTTGATTGATTACAAAGAACTGGAATTAGATTTCCAGAGTTGGACCGTCTAACTGCTGTCCTTCTTTTAAATTTGTGTTTATTCAAGTTACAACACATTTCTGAGCTGGAGCGAGGAACACACACAGTCTCTATTGGTTTAAAAAGTGAACTCTGTTGTACTTTGTTAAGTTCCAGATGCATAACTGAGTCAGCACAGTTCAGTGGCAGGACTGTCGTTACACTGCCAGACGGACAGGGGTCAGTGTTTGCACCACAGTACTCACCCGGTGCTGGTAAGGAGGAGGAGGGGGGTGGTGGGGGCCGAGAAGCCTCAGATGTAAACAGTCACGCCCCCCTCGGGGAGGCGTGACTTACTATTTAATCTAGCACCTTAGAAAAAAGATCAAAAACCAAAGTTCATTCATTCATGTATGTCATTATTTTTCTTCCTCTTCATCCGTCACCAGGTCACAGGCAGCAGTCTGAGCATAGAAACCTAGACTTCTCACTTCCTTCAGCTCATCCAGGGGAACCCTGAGGCGTTCCCAGGCCAGCTGAGAGGCAAAGTCCCTCCAACATCCCCAGGGTCTCTTCCAGGCGGGACGCATGTTTGTTTATATACTGTAAATATTTATAAGCTTTACAACGAGGTGTAGCATGTCTGTATTGTTGGAGCTGAAGTTGGCTGGATGATACTGGGAACTTTTATTAATGATCTCAATGGTACTTTGTGTTAGCATGGCAGAGGGTCTTTGCAGGCTTTAGTTTGGCAAGCATGTCCAAACTAAAGCCTGCAAAAAGTTGGCGGGGGTCGCCAGGGTAACAGTTGCCATAGTGGTTGCGAGTAGTATAGCCACAGATATGGTCGCCCTCGTGACTATTGCCATAGAAACGGTTTCCTTGTGACTATTACCATAGCAGCGTAACCGCTGCTTTGTGATTATTGTTGTAGTAATGGTTGTCATGATGACCATTTCCATGACAAGGTTTACCATGGCAACCATTACTATGGAAACTGAAAACAAACTCCCAAAAAATACAAGTTTTATTAAAACAAGATTCACCAGATTGTCTGCCTGTTGTCATGGCATCAGTTGGTGGCAATGGTGATTGTTTCCGTAGTATTTGTTGCCATGGTGATTGTCATAGTGATGGTTGCCTGGTTAGCAGTTGCCATAGCAACGATGGCCACGGTTACTATTGCCATCGCATTAAAACAAGATTCACTATATTGTCTGGCCATTGTTATGGTAACTTTTCCCCTGTGGACTGCCCATGCCCTTGTGGGCTGCACCCAGTGGGGGCGGGTCCCGGCTCAAAAATGTCAAAAATGACGTGTGCTGACATACTTGCAATACCACCCCGGGCCGATGGTGGTGGACTCGTAATAAGAATTATTCAATGCAAATGTAGCGCATCTTCTTAACTCTCGAAAACGGCTTTACAGGATGGTTCAAAAGTCGGCGTAGTCACATCTATCTCCACCACTCAAACTAATGTGCCATTACTTTCGCCGTCTATGGGCAGTTTCAAAATGGCCACAGGGGCTGGAAGGTATGAAAAAAAAACGCATTTGCGAACGCGCCAGCCGGCACAAGCTCCATTAATTTACAGAGTGCCTTCAAAATTCCACAGCAACTAATCGAGACTGGTCCAAAAAAATTCACTCCCCTCAGCATTGACACACATGTGGGCCTACTTTTGAACCATCCTGTAAAGCTATTATTGAGAGGTAAAAAAATTGGAGAGATAAAAAAAGGCTATACATATAATCAGCATTGGTTAATTCTTATTCTGGGTCCCCCCCATCGTCTCGGGGTGTATTAAGCATGTTAGCACACGTCATTTTTCAGCCGGGACCCGCCCCCCCCTGGCTGCATCCTCTCCCCGCCTGGGAGTTGCTTCAGTCGTGCACCGCACCTATCCTTGTTCTAAAACCTCTGCGCTGCCTTGGTCCTCGTTCTGTAGCTTAGGTCTGGTGACTATAGCCCATCTGTTCTTGTGAAGCAAATCTCATTGTCGTACCTCCTCGAGGTCCACACTGGGTTTCAGAGTTTTTCCTTGCCAATGCAGAACGGTCTTTTAGACTGTTAGTGTCAACAATACAATACAATAAAATACCATACAATTTATTCTAGCCCTAATCACAACAGCAGTAATCTCAGAGGACTTAACAAAACTTTTGAAATCACCAACACAGATCAGAGAATCAACAGTTAAGACAAAAAATATAGAACCCATATGTATCGGTCCATATGGAGAGACCAATGTCCATGAATGTTGATAAATGTCCATACATGTTGTGGAATGTTAAAGTGTCCTGGATCATCACCACAGTCCTTCTTGTTAGACACTAACTGTCCAACAGACCCTCTTGCATCGGCAAGGAAAAACTCAAAAAAATCCAGTAGGAAAAAAATGAGAAAACTCGGGGAGATCCACATTGAGAGAGAGATCTGCTCACACGGATGGACGGGCTATAGATCCAGGACCTGAGCTACAAGTGGTTATGATCCAGGACAGTCTAAAACAGTGTTTCCCAACCTTTTTTTTAGCCGTGGCACACCTAAAACTCTCATGGCACACCACGAGCTGAAACTGTCACAAACTGATGTTACTCTGCAGCCTTTATTAACAAAACAAAGTAATTCTGTATTCTGTATTATATAGAAAATCGGAAGTGCAAATAAGTATTTCTAATCTTCAAATTCTTTCTTTTTTCACATTATTTTGCCCAAATAGGTGATATTGGATCATTTCCCAAGGCACACTGAATAACATCTCAAGGCACACTAAGGTTCCCTGGCACACTGGTTGAAGAACACTGCTCTAACATGTGTTCTATTTTTTTAAATGTTTTAGCTATTTAAAGTTAATCCGATCCTTGTTAACAAGTTCACCGGTTTTGTTAAGTCCTCTGAAATGGCTACTTAGGGGGGGGGGATAAATGGCAGAAAAATAAAAAAAATAGAAAATGATTACACCCACTTGAGGGATGGTGCATTGGGTCATTTGAGAGATATTTTGTATTGGAAGTTTGTACCTACCATGAAAAAAAAACCCCACCCCACCCAAAAAACTGGATGGATTATGCTTTTTAACCCTTTTCCCACATATTATACATGAAATAAAATTAAATATTAAATAAAATAAAGAGGGAAGGTTTTTGTTCACCTCTAAAATGTTGGACAGTTCTATTGTAATAAATATATAGTTACAAAATATATTTTGGCTTTTGGTTGATTCAAGCGAACCATCAAAATCCTCAAGCAGATGATCACATTCAAAACACCTTCAGCAGTTCAACAGTCGCCACAGGTATGTTTTTTGCTTTTTCTTAAAAGAAAAATCATTATATTCTAATTATATTATAATATTTAGCATATAGTATATTTTTATACTTTACTTGAGCTTGGTTTGTGTCAGGTTCCAGCCAAATGAGTCACCTTTTAAATTATTTTAGCTAGAAAGAATAAGCTAGCTAGCTAGCTAGCTAGCTTACGGTAGTATAACAGTTGATTTGACTTGTTAGCTCATATTAGCCAGACAAATAGATTATACAGTAATAAATTAGTAGATATCACATAAGTAATTGACACTGGCTTAGTCCTAGTGCTTGTAACTCAATCTAATTTAGAATATTAATCTTTTTCAGAAAAGTACATCATCATACATCATCAAGGATGGCAGAGCCCAGACACTCGTCCAAAACTAGATCTACTGGAAATATTTATAATACAGATATCGACTTTCCTCCCTGCAAGAACTTCCAACCCCCTACAAAACTCCCTACACTGCAGAGTGTCATAAGCGTGATACGGTACCACCTAGAGAGGGGCAATGGGAGAGTGACTACAACCATGGCAGTACGGGAAGTGACAAAACAGGTTTACGCCAAGTACTACCATGACACTGTGTTCTGTGTCTCCTTGAGCACCATCCAGAGGAAGTTAGAAAGGATCTGGAAACAATTCAGTGAGGGAAAAAAGAGGTATGGACAGACAGGAAAAGAAGATTCACTTGCTGAAAAGCAATACAAAGAGTTATTTCATTCAAAGTCTGAGCTTTTTGATGTATTTGCTCATGACCCTAAACGCCGGCAATCACTGGAGAAAGAGTGGTGTGTAAGTATGAGTGAAATGGAACACAAATATTATGAAGATCGGAAGACTGAGCGTTTTGAACAGGATGTTCTGTTCCAAAGGTGTGGACCCAGTCTGGTACCATAGCATGATGCGAACCCAAAGGCTGAGGGAGAGGAGCGAAGAGTATCAGAGGAAGAGAGACCAGCAGTTCTCATATCAAACTCTGGATCAAATTACAGATATCTTGATGGAAACCGGTGAGATATCCAGCTCTAGCAGCGATGAAGAGAAGAAGGTCACACCCCCAAAGCGATTGAGACAAATGTTCTAGAGTGACACACAGCTTCAAACTCAGGGAGAACAGAGTGAGGTGCGAGCAGAGCCCAAAGGGAGGAAACAAATCTTGAAAGATGTTGCTGACTTACATATGGATGAAGATCCACTACCACCAGAATTTCAACACATCCGATTGTCAGAGAGAAAGGTCCGGGAAGAATTCTATACAACTATAGCCAATCTGTCTGGAAAGGGACTTTCTATCTTTGAGGCGAGCACAGCTGTAATTGAAGTAGGCAACAGTATGTTTGGACGATGTTGGAAAAGTGCTGGGGAATGCGATGAGATTTTTGATAAGGATACCGTGCCAAGTACTAGAAGTATAAGGGCTGCTCTACAGCAAATTGAAGCACAAAGTCTGTGTCTAGTTGTGGAAAAGCTGGAGGAGGAGAAGGGGAAGGGTAAAATGATCACACATGCGTCGGACAGCACCACAAAGAAACGTGTAGGAAAGTTCATGGTACAAGGGTTACATGTGGGTCAAGACAGCCCATTCCCTTTGCCTATATTACCAATCCATCAAGAAACAACAGAGGACATAGCAATGCAAGTGGATATGGGGTTTGAAATACTGGCGTCAGTGAGAGGAGTCAGTGTGGAGGATGTGTATAAACTTGTAGATGCTCATATGACTGACAGCACAGAGCACAACAAAGGGTTTTCAAAGCTGTTGGCAGAGATTTACAACTTGGAAACACCAGCAGGGCAGATCTTTTGTGGCACCCACACTACACAGGGCTTCAGCAGTGCAATGAATAAAGTGATGCGGTTGGTGGAGGCTGATATGAAGATGGAGCAAGTGCTTCAAAGTTTCATGGTGGATCTAGATGTAGACAGCAAGAATGCCAGTGTGGCTGGATAGGCACTGGACATGTGCCTTAAGTTGGTGGCTCCTGAGTACGCCCACAAACCCTGGAACCGCTATAAGGAATTTCTCCACTTCCTTGAGCAAAGGCAGGTATCCAGTGTGCTGTTTTCATACAAAGACAGCAGGTTTGGGTGTCTCTCAAGGGCAGCAGCCGTCCTAATACACCACTTTGGCCATCTAACAGAGTTCCTGAGCCAGAACCCTCACATTAACAACCGTCTGGCCTGCCTCGTCAGAGAAGTGATGGAGCTTCCCTACTTAAAGGTGGTCCTCGTGGTGTTTGCCTGCCTGGGTGTGCACTTGGTGGAGCCTTTCTATGCCCGAACCATCGAGAAAGATGCTACCCATTCTCAGCTCAGGGAGTTCTACAAGGGACTCCACACAGGCTTGGGTCAGCCAATCAGTGACAGTTACACTGCATTCATAACACCTGAGTATCCTGTAGTGTCTGAAAAGCTTTTCAGTAGCGTAAAGAGGACCTACACAGAAGAGGTGCTGAACTCTGTGTCTGACGTGGCTGCTGAACACTTGGATGAGGTGAAGAAGCTGATTGCTCTCATGCAGCCCCACCTGAAGACAGTCCTGGCCAGGCAGAGAAGGGACTATGGGATTGATGAGGAGACCTTCCCAATGGACTACCCGGTCAGGGAACAGGCTGGTGATATTGATGGCACCCCTGTGCACAACATTGGGATGGAGAGACAATGTGGCAAGGTGGACTACAGACTGAAGAAACTCGGTACACTGAATGCAGTGAGTAGGTCAATCATTTTACAAAAGAGCCAGGAACTTAGGAATGGATAGATTCCATCCTTCAGAGGATTCAAGGCAGCAGCCCAGGCAAAACGAGAGGTTGAACTAAATTGGAGTAAACTCATGAAGGCGAAATTCCAGTGTGGGGTAGAACAGAAACAGGAGATGGCTCAAAGAAAAGAGAGGAAGAGACTAGACCTGCTGGACATTCTTAAATCTAGAGGTGGCCCCTTCACTGACAGCGGGGAAGTTGATAAGTTCCTTGTGGATCAAAGTCTGAACAACATTGAAAAGCTGCAGAGAATGAAGCTTGAGGTTCAGTTTGCAAGAGAAAGTACCACACTTCTGCCTAAAGCTGATCCCATCTTCAGAATCCAGGTAACACTGGCCAGTGGGAAGAGGAGGATGAAAACAAAAGTTTTCCAATTGAGTCGTTTAGTCTTAGTACACTATAGGAACAGTAAAAGCATAGAAAGGTTGTAACAGCCCAGAATGTTTAAAGATGGATGGGGAATTGTTTCCAAGATAGAGTTACTTTGAGGTGTAACAAATCTTCTAATGATAGTGTTAAATAATTCCAAAAAGAGTTTTGAAGCATTTATTTAACAGTATACAAGCAAACAGTAAGAATAGCTTATGCATACCGGGCGGAATGTGCAGAAAATTGCACTTTTGGGTTCTTTTTTTCATTTTCAAGGGGTGGGGGGTTATTTTCAAGATACAGAGATACGTTTGGTGTCAAATTCCCTGTATTTATAGTGTTAATCAAGTCCCAAATGGGTGCATTGAAATTTTGAAGTTGATGATTATCCCCCCCCCCCCTACTACAGTTGTGATTTAGCGCTAAACAAAAATAAATTGAATTGAATAAACAGTTGCAATGGTGATGGTTGCTAGGGTAACAGTTGCATTAGTGGTGGCCACAGCAACAGTTGCTACGGGGACTATTGTCCTAGCAACTGTTTCCATGGTTACTATTGCAGTAGCAACAGTTACCATGGTGACTTTTGCCATAGCAGGAGTTGCCATGGTGACCAATGCCATGACAACCATCTCTATGGCCATAGCAACAGTTACCATAGGCCATAGTGATGACTGGCAACCATTGCTATGGCAACTGTTGTTCAACAGTTTTATAGCAAATACACAAAAGAGATGGAAAAACGATTTGTTTTCTGAGTTGGAGTATTAAAACGACGCCGAGAAGGCATCATGACAAAGTCAGCGATCAGGGGATGTTCTGGCTGAGTCAGAACACACTTTTGCTTTATTATGCTTTAACCTGTTCCTCCCACAAAGAGTTATGTCTCAAAATTTTCCTCCAATGATTTTAGAGCAATGTTTTGCAAAACTGTGATTTACACTACTCATATATAGATATATATTTACTTACTGCTCCTCTGAAGCATTTACAGCTACTTGTAATTGTACATTTTGTGTTCCCCTTGTGTCTTGCGTCCTGTATGTGCGCTGCATTATAGAAATTTCCCCACTGTGAGACAAACAGTGGTTCTCTTAGCTTTTCTTAGGACCTCTTATATCTGGGGACATACAGTATATGAAATATGTAGAAGTATTGCATACTTTATCTTTAAATTACAGCAGTTCAAATAGGCCTTTACAGCAGAGGGCAAAAAGAACGTATAAATGATGTTCTAAATACGTATGAGCAATTCTATAGTACTTTTACCTTTCTCTTATAAAATTTCACACTTTACATAACTGTAAATTAGCAACACTCAAAAACCATTAGAAAAAAACTCCATACCAAAAAATAAAACCAAGTCTTTTTGAAGTTTTAAAGGTGGGGTACCTGGATTTCAAACTATGGGAGCAAAAAAATATTCAAATCTATCAAAGTAGTAAATACCGATCACAGACACTTCAGAACATTATGAGAAATAAACTTCTAACAAAGAGCTTAGAATAGATGGCAACTATTGGATCAGCTCTCAGCCCAAATTGTAAGAGTGATTCACTGGGCTCCTGTTTATGGATGTGTAATAATCCAAATGTTGTGAAATACAACAAGATAAAAAATAAAATAAAATACTCATAATAATAAAAATGATAATGCGTCAGTTTTAAATAGCGCTTTTTTGGACGCTTCACATGTCATTATTTATTCACTCCATACACGGTGGTGATAAACTACCACTGTAGCCACAGCTGCCCCACAGCTGCACTAGGCTCATTCTAGGCAATGGGGGTGAAGTGTCTTGCCAAGGACACAACAACAGCAGACATCTGTGGGACATCAGTGGCGGAGAAAGTCTTGTGGTGGGCTCGACCCCACGACCTTCAGGCTCTAAGGCCAATGTCTTCCAACTGAGCCACTGTCGCACCTGAAGATGTCAAACTTCTGCTCAATTAAACTGTCACTGTTACTCTTACGGTAGCTCAGTTGGTAGTTCTTGAAAGATCAAGCAGCCATTCTCCAGGAGGATCAGTGAGGGGCTGGTGCTCTGTGAATTGGGTGCAGCTCTGACTGGCACCCCTCCAATCCAGAAATGAATTAAGGGGAAGAAATTGAATGGATGGATGGCGTACTGATACACTGTCAGGCTGTAGTAAGACTACTGTTACACTCACAGGTCGGCTGACTACTGGAGACTGGTTCTGAAGTGTGACTGATGGCCTGGTGTCAGCTGATGTGTCCTGGGGCCTCACAGATCACGTGGCTATAAGGCCGCCCCAGGGGCCACAGGCAGAGCCACAGCAGGAGGTCAAAAACCAATACATGAGGTCAAACTTCTATTGATGTCATATTTTCTATATTTCATTTTGTTGTTCCAAGACTGAGGCTGAGGTCCAGGACTGAGACAGTAGACCAGGACTCAGACTGTAGATCCAGGACTGAAACTTTAGATCTAAGACTGAGGATTTAGATCCAGGACTGAGGCTGTAAATACAGGACTAAAGTCATTGGGTGAACGCAGATCATGTAAACAGACGGAGCAGGGTTTGTGCCAGACATGCTTGATATGGCTCCATGGCTGTTTTTTTTTTCCCAAAGTGGGGGTTGCAAGACTTAATCTGGAAGTTTCAAGATTATTTATAAATGCAATTTAGGAAATAATACTGTCAGACCACATGTAATGTTTGAAGATTTCTACAGTTTTTCTGCGATCCAAACAGTTTACAATGATATTTATGTTGCTCAAAGTAGAAGGAGTTTTGGTCACTCAAGACAACATATTTAAAATGGAAGTATAGCAGGCCAGGATGTCGTTTTTGCAGTCTGCAGAGGAGGTCCGGGAGCAGGAAGTCCAACTGTTGTGTGTTTCACACAAACAAAGGGGGAGGGGGTCCAGCGGATCCAGTGCAGACGTTACAAGCATCAAGCTTTTTAAAAATGTTCTCTAATCTCTAATCTGACAATTGGCACTGAAAAAACTCATGGACGAGTAGGACCAGTAGCAAAGGCCAAGTTCCATTCACTGAAAGGAGACATACTATTGTTTTGTTATTTTTTTGACCACGAAAGTCTCACTGAGATTTGAGTATGTCTTCAGGGGAGTCCTCGCAGAAAGGACTCCACACAGGGAGGCACAGTCTGGAAGTGGAATTGAACCCAGGACCTTCTTGCTGTGAAGCACAAGCGCTAACTCGTTCAAATAGTACATTTTAGATTTTTTTTCTCACCCATCAAAATCAGAGCTTGAGTTGTTTTTTGCTCCATCCACATTAATACAGCTCTGGTTCTTTGGGACAAGTGCAGGTGTAGGGAACCTGGATGTCAAACTAATTTGAAATCTATCAGATTAGTACATACCAACAGACACTTCAGAACTAAACGAGAAGGAAACTTCTAAGAAGAGCTTAGAAGAGATATAAAACAGGGTGACTCACTGGGCTCCTCTTCAGGGATGTGTAATAATCAACATGTTGTGAAACTCAACAAAATGTCAAAGTTCTCCTCAACAAAGCACATTATGTGGATAAAAGAGAGAGAGTACTGTTACATTGTCAGACTGTAGCATGAGTACTGGTACACTCTCTGGCAGTAGAAAAAGTCAGACAGCTACATAAAAAAAATATGTGAATATGTGCTAAACAAAGCTGCATGCACTTGATACATAATAGACAGTAGAACATCAATATATGTTTGTGTGTGCGTCTGTGACCAATCAGAGCTGGGGCGGTTGTCGTGGAAACAGTCCCCTCCCCAGGAGCCAGAGGAAGAAGCCTGGGTCGGTCTTTGTGACAGGAAATGCCAAAAACTGTTTACACCAAGCAAATCTGTCTGCACAGTATCTGATAGTTTGGATGTTATCCTGGTTTAGTCCTGATGTAGAGTTGGTTTTGTCCTGGTTTAAACCTGATTTTGGCCTTGTTTGGACCTGATTTAATCCTAGTATAGTCCTGCCGTATTCCTTGGCCGTACTGGTTTTGACATGGTTTAGTCCTGGTCCAGACCTGCTTTAGTCCTGGTTTAGACTTGCTTTAGTCCTGGTTTAGACCTGGTTTGTTGATTTGTGTTTTTTTTAATCTGCGTTTGGATTGGCTTTAGTCCAAGTGTGGACTTGCTTAAATCGTGGTTTCCTCAAAACTAAATCCTGATAAATGTTCTGAAGGTCTTTCTTTAGTCCAACATTGTTTGCTTGTGGTTCCAGCGTGGTTAAGTCCTGGGAAACACGTTACTTTTGGTCTAATTACGTTCGTGACATTGAAAAATTCCCTTCTAATTTAAAATGTTAAGTATGACGTCATGATCCAAGGCTTCATTGTTTTATTCATTGTTTTTGACCCGTGTGGGCAATCTCAGCAGACTATAGGTCAGTGACATGCTGATGACCCAAAGCAGGGTTGATGGTCGTTAGATCTGCTCTCTACCACATCTTTACAGACCTCAGTTAGTTGTCTCACCACACCCACAGGTTACAAATCTCCAACTTGCGGCTCATTCCCTTGAACATGTTCTTTGGGTGAAGAACAAAACGTCTGGAAAACCTGCTAACTGAAGTACAGATGATGGGTGAGCAACCTTCCATTATTTTTAAGTGCCGTTTGTGTGTTCTCGGATGCAAAAGTACTGGTTAATAACAAAAATAAACCCAAGGCGTAGCTCTGTGAACACTGTTGTTATACCCTGTGATAATTGAGTTTCTGGAAGGTCACAGAGACAGTGCGGAGCTGCATTTGTGGAGAAGAACTTTACACAAAAAGCTCTATTCTAATAAGAAGAGCTGTCTAATTCATTCAAGTCTCTTTTTTATTACATTTTTGCATTTTAATTATTGTACTATTTCGTTTTCCCAGCCCTATTATGATCCTGAGCTTCTGCTGGTACAGGATACTGCACATTGTCGCCGCCTAGTGGCAGCATGGAGTACAGGAGAGACCTCCAAACGTTTCTACAAAATGCCCTCACTCTCTCCTTGGTTCCGCCCTCTGCTCTGCCTCAGCCCCCACCTCTGTATCTCACCAGTCCTGAGGCTTGGTGGAACTCCTTCATGCCTTCCTTCTCCAGTATGCAAATTACTTTACACGAAGAGCCTTTATTTGGTTTATATTGTTTTGTGGCATTATTGATGTGACATTCCTATCATTTACACCCTGATCATTTCTCAGTTTATAGTTCCCATGCCATTTGATCTGGCATGTCCAACGAGTCCTACGAGTCATGTCCTGTGGCAGCTAATGAGATCAAACACAAAGTTAAATTCATTTCAGTTCATTTTGTTTTTGTATAGCCCTCAATCATACAATACAATAAAATACATTACAATTTATTCTTGTATAGCCCTAAATCACAACAGAAGTCATCTCAGAGGACTTAACAATGCCACAATGTCATGTATTTCACGTTCAGCCGAACAACAAAAGAACAATCTATTCACGTTTGGTGGTAATCAAATGTTGAATAAGTATACAGAAGCTAATTTGAAAGCGTCCAATTGGGTAAAGAAGGCAGATTTTGCTGCTTTGCTGCTTGCAGTGTTTAACTGATCAAAATTTTGCAGTTAACTTTCGATGCTACATGTGTTGAGATCATGTGGAGATTTTTTGATTTTCCCAGTGACATGGAGCTCTTCGCGAAAATTCACTGTGGTAGACCCGGCCGCTGCTGCCAGATCTACAAGCCTGCTCATCCTCTACTCATTACACCAGCAAAACGCCCACATCTAATCCACCAATAACCACCAGGACAGCAAGTTAAAAGCCGGAGACGCCCACTTCCCGGCCTTCTGAAGTCTGCAAAGCTTCTGAAGTCTGCAAAGTGTTGTCAGCGTAATGCAACTGTCCACCATGTGTTCTTCGCCCCGTGCTCGTGCGTCCCCGTCTGCTTCAGGCTCTTTGCCTAGCTCTCTGAACGATTTGTTCGTTCCCCCCTCGCCTGTGCCCGACCGGTCCCGGAAGAGCGCGCGCCTGGCGTCCCAGGATGCTGGGTCCGTCCACACCTTCCTCACGGCCCGTGGCGTCGTGCCAGGTCCGGATGCAACCCCGCTGCAGCTCCAGCGCCTCGTGGAGCAGCTGTCAGCGGATTCCGCCTCCCCCCCCCCAGCTCCGGACTCCCCTCCTCGCAAGCGCCGTCGCAAGGCCAATCACCTGCCGCCAACGCGTGCCTACCCCCCTTCCTCTGCGCTCGACGGGCCCCTGCTTCCCCCGGCTTCGTCGGCCTGCCCCGTGCCCGCCCCAGCGCCTTGCCCCATCGACGTCTCCCGGGCCGCCCCCGCGGCTCCCGGCGTGCCCCCTCCCCAGCCGGATCCTTTTGCGGCAGCCTTCGCGGCCCATGTGGCAGCTGCGGCTCAGGACCGTGAATTCCTCTGCGCGCGCACGGACGCCATCCTGTCGGCGGTGTTGTCTCTCCAGAGCTCGGTGGCCGCAGTGTCCGGCCAGCTCCGCGTCGTGGAATCCCAACCTCCCACCCCCGCCGTGGCTCCGGTGGCCGTTCCTGCCGCTGTGCCTCCCGGCGGCTCCCTGGACGTCAGTTTCTCCCTCTCCACGGCTGTGGCTGCTACGGCGTCCGGTAGGCCCTTTATCAATGCCTACTCAAACGTTTCCCCGCGGCTGCGGTCTAAAATATTGCTGGGACGCTACATCAATTTAGTTTCCCTCATCCTCCCCTCCCCCGAGTGTGACAGGCAGGTGGCGGCCTCCTCCCTGGTCACTGCGGTCGTAAAGACTGCTGATCCCCGCCTCTCGCGGGAGCTATCCATCGGGGAGTTTCTCGTGGCCTTCGGCGTGTACCGGGACGTCCTGTGCACCGTGTACCCCGAGCGCAGGCCCGAGCTGGACGCTTATCTGGGCCTAATGGGGGACCTGGCCCTCCGCTAAGGCGGTTCACATTTCTACCGCTACCATCGGGCCTTCGCCGCCAAGGCCGCGGCCCTCGTCTCCCAGGCTAATGTCAGAGTGGACTGGGCGGTCCTGGATACGGAGGTCTTGCTGCTGTCCGTTGGAAGTGCCCCCGCGGTCTCCTGCTCCCGGTGCGGCGCGGCCGGCCACAGCTCTCCCCTCTGCCCCTCCGTTCCGTTCGACGCCGCCGCTGGTCAGTCCCCTAGGCCCCGCGCGCCTTCATTTCCCAAAGCGGAGGTATATGATCAGAGCAGTGTGTGCCGTTTGTTCAACGCTGGCGTGTGTACTTTTCCATCGTGCAATTATCTCCACGTTTGTAGTGTGTGCAGGGAAGCCCATCCACGTTCCATGTGCCCCCATCGCCCGGGCCGCCGTTCCGGGGGGCCTTTGTACAGGCCTTGATCACCACCCACCTCTCAACCCCAGTCTCCGTGCCCGCGCTGGCCCGCGCGCTCGCGC